TGATCATTAGGATACATGACAATCAGTCATTTGATCATTAGGATACATGACAATCAGTCATTTGATCATTAGGATACATGACAATCAGTCATTTGATCATTAGGATACATGACAATCAGTCCAAAGCTCTAAAATCCCGCTGTTCTCTCCCTCTAATTATTAGAATGTGACCCCCAGGGCAGAATTACTTTGATACCCCCTACTCTAATGTCCATTTGTATGGCAGCACTGGAGGGCAATTCCACGCTATCGGAATTACGCTTTGGCTCAGATATTTCACTTTAAAATGTACGGCAAACAAAAAATAAAATTGATTTCAAAGTTTAACAAACCATAAAAAACTCTATGAACAAGGACAGAAAAGCAAAGTGAATTTAACGTTAACTCAGGAGGATTTCAGTAATCTTTGGGGTTGGAAACTTGTTGAATACTGAATGTAATTGGAGCTACAGTAGTTCTGTGTTGATCCATAGTGTGAATTACATGTGAAACTCTGCTACAAATCTCTGCTACTTTATACTGCGTCACATATAAAAACCTAAAAGAGGCTCACAGATAACGATGGTTGTAGTGTCCATCTATAGACAGATAGAGAGGCCTCTGAAGGTCAACGATTCTGGTCAGTGTAACGTTGTGTGTCACACAAAACATCTAATAACCAAAGACTCTGAGACACTTCATACAGTAGGCCTATAGAGGAACTATCATCTGGGCCTTGCTAAAAGCGGCATTGACACTGAACAACATAACAGTCAGCCATTCATGGCATTTCATGTAAATGAATAATCTCACTCTCCACAATCCAAAAAAACAGATCTAAAATTGGTAAGTATTTTTAAATGAGAAATTCCAGTGATTATTTTTAAACTTGTTATGTCTCTCCCTGCTGCTGCCGTGTCTAACAAATAACATACTGAATAGCTTTTCAAGGCTGTTCTTGATTCAATCAGGTTTCGGCTGTGAAACTATACAACTGACAGATTCCAAGACCCCAAAACCCACTCAAGACGACGAGGAAGGTGGGATGTGCCCCTAGCAAATCCACAATGGGGTGGGTCTGTAAACCCATAGCCTACAGCAAAACAGAGGTGATAGTATAATGGGTGATATGTTACAATAGGCTCACATGCCAAGCCTATGTGATGCCATAAGATAGGCTACTTTAAATTGTAAAATAAATCATTACACATAATCTAATTGATTATTCTGCGGTAGGCCTACACACAACTCTACAAGTTAAATATCATGGAATTCTGTCATTATTCGCACAGTTAGTGTGAAAACGAAAATATTGATAAATAACACTAATCATTTAAATCATTATTAGGCCTATAGTATTGAATAAGTGCGCTCCATCACAATCGTATGCTGCGGGATGTCGCCCACTGACTGCTGCGAGCTCGAGACGATCACTGATACATTCGAATCTATTCCTCTAAATATTCTAATAATCGCGCATTACCTTTTGCTGTGTTTCGATGTGCGTGGTTGTTCTCTCAATGGAACATCTGAACGCTTGAATCCTTCGGTTTTTCAGTTGTGACGGGGAGCGCTCATGACTTGTGCAGCAGAGGAAGCACTGTCCCTGTCGGCAACTTTGTTGCAATGGTGAGTTTACTCCACAAAGTATCAAGGAGATCCTAATTAAAGGGGAGGGCAGCGGTGATGTTTAGCCGACATTTTTCCAGTAAAAAAAAAAAACACATTATCCGTCAACTTCAAAGTTGCACATAATGGTAATTCGTAAACATACATGCAATCTTTTGACTGCACTACATTGCCTTTGTGCAAGAAATGTAAGAAAGTTTTGTTTTTGTTTTTAACTTTCAGAATAGGCCTAATGCTAAAGAATGGACACCTTGCAATCAGGTAATTTAATTATACTGTGTTGGGGGCCCTACACACTTGTTTTAAAAACATTCCCTATTGCCTACAAAATAACAAAAAAAACGAGTGTGCATAGTTAGGTTAGGTGCATGGGTGGAAAAAGGTAATGTAATATGGGCTTCAATAGGACTACTGATACAATAGATCATGTGACGTGGCCTTCAGTAGGACTACTGATACAATAGATCATGTGACGTGGCCTTCAGTAGGACCACTGATACAATAGAACCAAACAACCTGATGAGAGATCAGAATTTTAAATAGCTACAAAAATGTGGATGTTGAGGTGTAACCAAGATGTGGTGCTGGATTTTTCTGACCCCCTTCACCCTGCCTGACACACACATACATATATTACACATTTTTCACATTAGTTCAAGTTCCAGGGGTATCATGAATCACACACTGTTATTCAAAAATCAAAGGCAGCTCAGATTATGGATAATAAATGGATGATCTTTGGAGATTATGAGTGCACAGTGCAATAAAATCACACGCTTTAATTCTCAAAGATCACTCAAAATGGAAGACATTTTATACTAGACAAAGCAATGAACTGTGAGTTCTAAAGCAAAGATTTTGTGCCGTGTGAGAAATCTAGACAACAGTGGAGTTTCCTTTCCCTCAAAAACAATCTGACCGATGCGGACAGGAAATGGGACAGGAAGTAGCACTGGGGAAACAGGAAGTGCCTGAGACAATACAGATTCTGAGGATTGGCCCCAGCTGCATTTGTAAATCTGAAAAAGGATACAGCCACACATAAACGTTCCTTATCTACGGAGAAAAACAAACATTGCGGTCAAAATTGGAACTTGTATACTTAGAAATTAAGATTAGGAATCAAGAACATCAGCCGCGAAGGTCTTAAAATCAGGAGACAACTTCTCTTTATTTAACATGCGTTTATATGAACATGATGTCTCTCCATTTTGGAAACATGTCCGTAAATCCTACCAAAAGACAGTTAGAATTCAATGAAACCACATTCCTGATAATAACTTTATTAATTAATAAATACAAAATCTTTGATATTCAGTCAGGACAGGCAAGACCAAAGTATAACTGAGGTAATGACCTTTTAACAGCTAAACACGTTTCATGACCCCCTAAGGTTATAACAAGCTATGACAGATTATGACTGATTATAATGATTCCTTTTACGGGTCAGGACAGGAGCTTGTATTCCCTCAGGTGTTGTTATGGTGACATCTCTCCATCTCTCCTCCCCTGTGACTGTCATTAGGAGCCTCAGTGGGCCATTCACTGTACAATAGCACACTTGTCTTGGTGCATTATGCTAATTCACTTCCTACCAAAATGACAACATTCCATTGTTCTAACCCAGCGTTTCCCAAACTCGGTCCAAGGGGGTGCACGTTTTGGTTCTTGCCCTAACGCTACACAGCTGATTCAAATTATTACAATTACATTTTAGTCATTTAGCAGACGCTCTTATCCAGAGCGACTTACAGTTAGTGAGTGTATACATAATTTAAAAAAAATTAAAATTCATACTGGCCCCCCTTGGGAATCGAACCCACAACCCTGGCGTTGCAAACGCCATGCTCTACCAACTGAGCTACATCCCTGCCGGCCATTCCCTCCCATACCCTGGACCAATTGTGCGCCGCCCCATGGGTCTCCCGGTCGCGGCCGGCTACGACAGAGCCTGGATTCGAACCAGGATCTCTAGTGGCACAGCTAGCACTGCGATGCAGTGCCTTAGACCACTGCGCCACTCGGGAGAATTATCAAAGCATGATGATTACATTTACGTCATTTAGCAGACGCTCTTATCCAGAGTGACTTACAGGAGCAATTAGGGTTAAGTGCCTTGCTCAAGGGCACACCGACAGATTTTTCACCTAGTCGGCTCTGGGATTAGAACCAGCGACCTTTTGGTTACTGGCACAACGCTCTTAACCACTAAGCTACCTGCCGCCCATTAGTTGATTAATTGAATCAGCTGTGTAGTGCTAGGGCAAAAAACAAAACGTGTACCCCTTGGGGTCCCAAGGACCGAGTTTGAGAAACCCTGTTCTAACCGCTCAAGGCTTCCGAACACTGGGCGATGAGGAAATGTTATGACATATTACTGCCACTGGGAGGCACTAGATACCAGGAAATATATTGTAGTAGGTCGGCTGCATGATAGGACGGCTGTCTATTGGCAATGGCTGTTGTATAACACTTCAATGAAAGCTTGGTCAAATCAAACATGAATATGAAGAAAAAACATGTTAGAGTCTTGGAAACATTTAAAAATTGTCTTGAAATTAGTTTTGAAATAGAATTGATAATAATGTAAAACATTGTCTATGTTTACATTTGAGTCATTTAGCAGACGCTCTTATCCAGAGCGACTTACAGTTAGTGAGTGCATACATTTTCATACTGTCCCCCTGTGGGAAACGAACTCACAACCCTGGCATTGAAAGCGCCATGCTCTACCAACTGAGCTACCATTTAATTGAAGGGTAGCACCGTGCATACGTTGTCCATTTTTGCTATATGAAATTACCCTGTTAAACATTAACATTTTTTTTTACATTTAGTCATTTTAGCAGACACTCTTATCCAGAGCGACTTACAGGAGCAATTAGGGTTAAGTGCCTTGCTCAAGGGCACATCGACAGATTTTTCACCTAGTCGGCTCGGGGATTAGAACCAGACCTTTCGGTTACTGGCACAACGCTCTTAACCACTAAGCTACCTGCCACCCCTAAACCCCTCTGACTCAATAAGTTATAGATCAATTACCAACTAAATGCAACAAGACAAAAGTTGCAGATCAAAAATGATAGTAAATCATGCATGTACATTGTTTGTACTGTACACACACTCACACTCACACGGAAACACACACACCAAACCCAACACAGAGGGTGTGTTCGAAATTGCACCCTATTCCCTATATAGTGCACTATTTATGGGCCCTGCTCAAAAGTAATAATATGCCATTTAGTAGACGCTTTTATCCAAAGCGACTTACAGTCACGCGTGCATACATTTTTGTGTATGGGTGGTCCCAGGGGATCGAACCCACTACCCTGGCGTTACAAGCGCCGTGCTCTACCAGCTGAGCTACAGAGGACCGCACACTCTATATAGGGAATAGGGTGCCATTTTAAACACATCCACACAATTCTATACAAACAAAGTCTCTTCACTCAGAGTTAGCCTAGGTCTCTTCATCGTCACTGTGATGTTGAGCTTGTTTCTCCTCTGTCAGGCTGCTCTCGTCGATGTTCTCCAGTGAGTCAGCTCTCTGCAGTACGAGGTCAGCCACGTTAATACACGGTAAGGTGTTCTGCTCAGGATACATCCAGGGCTTCAGGTTAGGGTTGTGCTTCCTCTTCCACTCTGGATACTTCTGACAGGCCTTGTAGATCTTCTTCATGGCCTGGGGGGGGGGGGGGGGGGGGGGGGGAGGAGCACAGATATTCAGATTCTAAATGGATGTGTTTAGTGAAGAGCCTCTCAGATAAGACTTGCAGCCATGTTCTGAAGGGGTTTTTATAAGTAGGCAATAAACTGTAAATTATGAGTTTATAAATAGTTTATAAATGTGTAATGAACAGTTATAACGCCATGGTATTACTTTTCATGGTATTCTTGATAGTGATTTTGGAATCAAAACTGTCATAACATCTTTTGGAAGTGCATGAACTTCCTGAAACCACTAGATTGAGACAGAGGTATCCACTATTGTAGGCACACCCCTGCTTTGTCAGGCACACTCTCTAGTTCTCGGGTTTCAAGATACCACATTTCCAAGACAGATTGATCATCATAATAATATTATAATATTACCTTTGGTGCTACGAACTGAGAAACTCTATTCACCACCCACTTTGGAAGGGAGCCTGCAGTTCAAACAAAAACATGAAACAGGCTTAGTACAGACAGCGGCAATTCAAATTCAAGGACTTTCAAGTACTTTTTCAAGCACTCATTTTTATTTTCAAGGACTATCAATTTGTAATAGTTCATATAATGCAATTGTTTGTAGTCGCCACCAGATGACAGTATATCGCCAAAACCTCATAAAAACAACAACGTAGTATTCATCACCACCTTACAAGTTCTACTCAATAATACATTGTTTCACTACTTACTTACTACTACATACATAAGTGGTAAGTCAGTACTGATGATTTCGTAATTTGAGTAGTGATGAGCAGAGTTTTGGGACATGCCTACTGGTGTCACGTTCGTTCAATGACGGGTCAGACCAAGGCGCAGCGTGATATACGTACATGTTTATTCAACTAAATAAACACACGACAAAACAATAAACGAAACGTGAAGTCCTAAGGTAGCTACACCAAACCTTAACCGGAAACAAGATCCCACAACACACTAGTGCCAAATGGCTGCCTAAGTATGATCCCCAATCAGAGACAACGAGCGACAGCTGCCTCTGATTGGGAACCACACCCGGCCAACATAGATATACACATACTAGAATAACCCCATATAGAATATACACACCAAAGAATATACACACCCTGACTCAACATATACGAGTCCCCTGAGTCAGGGCGTGACAACTGGTGAACAAACATTTCCTATTCGCATTACTACACAATTCCATCTTAATGGCATTTGGGAATCTACTAATTAATACCAACGAAAAAGCGTCCTGCTTCCGACTGGCAGCTTTGGTGTTGCGGGCGGGAGAAGGGTGACAGGACCGCGGCTTGGTAAAGCGGAATATCGCGGGCGACCTGTGAATGAGGCGATTGGCAAAAAAAGCTCTGGGGGTTGTTGCAGAGAAAATGTCACATAACGTAGAACGGACGCCAGCAGGATGCAGCGTTGTGTCTTCCCCCTTTCATGCGGCTCTTCAGGGCCGATTCACCCCATGCTCACATTTTTTTGCACGGTACACGGTGTCGGTTGGCTGGGTCCAGTGACGGAGTGGTAAAAAAAAAAAAGAAGTGGGTAAACTGTACTGAACAAAAATATAAAACATGTAAAGTGTTGGTCCCATGTTTCATGAGCTGAAATTAAAGATCCCCGGAATGTTCTATACGCACAAAAGGCAGGCTTGAATCTACATTTCCCGGGATTTTAGCTATCAGTGTGACGCTTGGCGGCGCCTAATCGGTCAGTTCTGTACCTGGCTGAGCGGCGAGCTCGCTTAACAACCACAGCGCCAAACGTGAGGAAATAAAACTCGGTAGTCTGCCTCGAAATTAATTCGCAAGACCAATACATTTTTATAATATTTTTCAGAAACATATTTGATCATTATCTGTTCTCCTCATTTAAATTCAAGTACTTTTCAAGCACCAACTTCAGAAAATGTCTGATTTTCAAGGTATTCCAGTACTTGAATTTCAGAGTGTCAAATTCAAGTACTTTAAGCACCTCAAGCACCTTGTGCGAACTCTGATGAAGGTTTAACACCAATACAATATTTGGCAGGCCTATGATATCAAATAGAATACTGAAAAATGTGTTTTTCCTCTCTTTAATAAAACACACTGCTTGCTTTCTGTTGATATAGTTCCTGGTTTACAGTAATGACAGTATACAGGACAGAAGTGTTGATAAACAGGCCTCCCGAGTGGCGCAGCGGTCTAAGACACTGCGTTGCAGTTTTGCGGCGTCACTACGGCCTGGGGTTCGATCCCCGGCTGTGACTGAGAGTCCCAACTGTGTCCCCACCGCCATCAAAGTTGCCCAAAGTTAGTGAGTGTAGATGGTATTGGGATATTGTTATATCACGTCGGCACCAACGATGTTAGGATGAAACAGTCAGAGGTCACCAAGCGCAACATTACTTCAGCGTGTAACTTAGCTAGAAAGATGTTTTGGCATCGAGTAATTGTCTCTGGCCCCCTCCCAGTTAGGGGGATTGATGAGCGCTACAGCAGACTAGCACAACTCAATCACTTGTTGAAAACTGTTTTCTGCCCCTCCCAAATAATTTGTAGGTAACTGGCCCGCTTTCTGGGACTCCCCCACAAACAGGACCAAGCCTGGCCTGCTGAGGAGTGACGGACTCCATCCAAGCTGGAGTGGTGCTCTCATCTTACCTACCAACATAGACAGGGCTCTAACTCCTCTATCTCCACAATGAGATAGGGTGCAGGCCAGGCAGCAGGCTGTTAGCCAGCCCAATGAGATAGGGTGCAGGCCAGGCAGCAGGCTGTTAGCCAGCCTGACAGCTTAGTGGAGTCTGCCACTAGCACAGTCAGTGTAGTCAGCTCAGATTTCTCCATTGAGACCGTGTCTGTGCCTCGATCTAGGTTGGGCAAAACTAAACATGTCGGTGTTCGCCTTAGCAATCTCACTGGAATCAAGACCTCCTCCATTCCTGTCATTATTGAAAGCGATTGTGATAATATCACATCTCAAAATAGGACTACTTAATGTTAGATCCCTCACTTCCAAGGCAGTTATAGTCAATGAACCAATCACTGATCATAACCTTGATGTGATTGGCCTGACTGAAACATGGCTCAAACCTGATGAATTGACTGTGTTAAATGAGGCCTCTCCTCCTGGTTATACTAGTGACCTTATCCCCAGCGCATCCCGCAAAGGCGGAGGTTTTGCTAACATTTACGACAGCAAATGTCAATTTACGAAGAAGAAAAATACTGTGTTTTTGTCTTTTGAGCTTCTAGTCATGAAATCTACTCAATCACTTTCTATAGCTACTGTTTACAGGCCTCCTGGGCCGTATACAGTGTTCCTCACTGAGTTCCCTGAATTCCTATCGGACCTTGTAGTCATGGCAGTCAATATTCAAATGTTTGGTGACTTCAATATCCACATGGAAAAGTCCACAACCCACTCCAAAGGGCTTTCGGAGCCATCATCGACTCGGTGGGTTTTGTCCAACGTTTCCAGACCTACTCATTGCCACAGTCATACCCTGGATCTAGTTTTGTCCCGTGGAATAAATATTGTGGATCTAAATGTCTTTCCTCATAATCCTGGACTATCGGACCACCATCTTATTATGTTTGCAATCGCAACAAATAATCTGCTCAGACCCCAACCAAGGAACATCAAAAGCCGTGCTCTAAATTCTCGGACAACCCAAAGACTCCTAGATGCCCTTCCAGACTCCCTCCACCTACCCAAGGACGTCAGGGTACAAAAATCAGTTAACCACCTAACTGAGGATCTAAATGTAACCTTGCATAATACCCTAGATGCAGTCGCACCCCTAAAAACAAAAAACATTTGTCACAAGAAATTTGCTCCATGGTATACAGAAAATACCCGAGCCATGAAGCAAGCTTCCAGAAAATTGGAATGGAAATGGTGCTCCACCAAACTGGAAGTCTTCCGTCTAGCTTGGAAAGACAGTACCGTGCAATATCGAAGAGCCCTCACTGCTGCTCGATCATCCTATTTTTCCACCCTAATTGAGGAGAATAAGAACAATCCAACATTTATTTTTGATACTGTTGCAAAGTGAACTAAAAAGCAGCATTCAACAAGAGAGGATAGCTTTCACTTCAGCAATGATAAATTCATGAACTTCTTCGATGAAAAGATAATGATCATTAGAAAGCAAATTACGGACTCCTCTTTGAATCTGCATATTTCTTCAAAGCTCAGTTGTCCTGAGTCTGCACAGAACTGCCAGGACCTAGGATCAATGGAGACACTCAAGTTTTTTAATCCTGTATCTCTCGACACATTCACAAAAATAGTAATGGCCTCTAAACCTTCCTGCTTCCTACTGGACCCTACTTCCAACTAAACTACTAAAATGGCTACTTCCTGTGCTTGGCCCTCCTATGTTGAACATAATAAATGGCTCCCTATCCACCAGATGTGTACCAAACTCACTAAAAGTGGCAGTAATAAAGCATCTCTTGAAAAAGCCAAACCTTGACCCGTAAAATGTAAAAAAATATATTGGCCTGTATCGAATCTCCCATTCCTCTCCAACATTTTAGAAAAAGCTGTTGCGCAGCAACTCACTGCCTTCCTGAAGACAAATAATATATACGAAATGCTTCAGTCTGGTTTTAGACCCCATCATAGCACTGAGACTGTACTCGTGAAGGTGGTAAATTACCTTTTAATGTCGTCAGACCAAGGCTCTGCATCTGTCCTCGTGCTCCTAGACCTTATTGCCGCTTTTGACACCATCGATCACCACATTCTTTTGGAGAGATTAGAAACCCTCATTGGTTTACACGGACAAGCTCTTGCCTGGTTTAGATCTTATCTGTCGGAAAGATATCAGTTCGTCTCTGTGGATGGTTTGTCCTCTGACAAATCAATTGTACGTTTTGGCGTTCCTCAAGGTTCCGTTTTAGGACCACTATTGTTTTCACTATATATTCTACCTCTTGGTGATGTCATTCGGAAACACAATGTCAACTTTCCCTGCTATGCGGCCGACACACAGCAGTACATTTCGATGAAACATGGTGAAGCCCCAAAATTGCCTAACCTGGAAGCCTGTGTTTCAGACATAAGGAAGTGGATGGCGGCAAATGTTTTACTTTTAAACTCGGACAAAACAGAGATGCTAGTTCTAGGTCCCAAGAAACAAAGAGATCTGTTGGATCTGACAATTAATCTTGATGGTTGGACAGTCGTCTCAAATAAAACTGTGAAGGACCTCAGTGTTACTCTGGACCCTGATCTCTCTTTTGATGAACATATCAATAATATTTCAAGGACAGCATTTTCCCATCTTCGTAACATTGCAGAAATCAGAAACGTTTTGTCCAAATATGATGCAGAAAAGCTAATACATGCTTTTGTCACTTCTAGATTTGACTACTGCAATGCTCTACTCTCCGGCTACCCAGATAAAGCACTAAATAAACTTCAGTTAGTGATAAACACGGCTGCTAGAATCCTGACTAGAACCAACAAATATGATCTTATTATTCCAGTGCTAGCTTCCTGTTAAGGCTAGGGCTGATTTCAAGGTTTTACTGTTAACCTACAAAGCATTACATGGGCTTGCTCCTACCTATCTCTCCGATTTGGTCCTGCCGTACATCCCTACACATACGCTAAGGTCACAAGACGCAGGCCTCCTTATTGTCCCTAGAAATCTAAGCAAACAGCTGGAGGCAGGGCTTTCTCCTATAGAACTCAATTTGTATGGAATGGTCTGCCTATCTCTGTGAGAGATGCAGACTCGGTCTCGACCTTTAAGTCATTACTGAAGACTCATCTCTTCAGTAGGTCCTATGATTGAGTGTAGTCTGGCTCAGGGGTGCGAAGGTGAACGGCAAGGCACTGGAGCGACGAACTGCCCTTGCTGTCAATGCCAGGCCGGCTCCCCTCTCTCCACTGGGATTCTCTGCCTCTGACCCTATTACGGGGGCTGAGTCACTGGCTTACTAGTGCTCTTCCATGCCGTCCCTAGGAGGGGTGCGTCACTTGACTGGGTTGAGTCACAGACATGATCTTCCTGTCTGGTATTCCGCCCCCTCGGCTCGTGTGGTGGAGGAGATCTTTGTGGGCTATACTCAGCCTTGTCTCAGGGTAGTAAGTTGGTGGTCTGTTGATATCCCTCTAGTGGTGTGGGGGCTGTGCTTTGGCAAAGTGGGTGGGGTTGTATCCTGCCTGGTTGGCCTGTCCGGGGGTATCGTCGGACGGGGCCACAGTGTCCCCCGACCCACCCGTCTCAGTATTTATGCTGCAATAGTCTAAGTGCCGGGAGGCTAGGGTCAGTCTGTTATGTCTGGTGTAATTCTCCTGTCTTATCTGGTGTCCTGTGTGAATTTAAGCATGCTCCCTCTAATTATCTTTCTCTCTCCCTCTCTCCCTCCCTTCCCGGAGGACCTGAGCCCTAAGATCATGCCTCAGGACTACCTGGCCGGATGACTCCTGGCTGTTCCCCAGTCCACCTGGTCGTGCTGCTGCTCCAGTTTCAACTGTTCTGCCTGCGGCTCGGGAACCCTGACCTGTTCACCGGACATGCTACCTGGTCCCGGACCTGCTGTTTTCGACTCTCTCTCTCTCTCTCTCTCTACCGCACTTGCTGTCTCGACCTCTGAATGCTTGGCTATGAAAAGCTAACTGACATTTACTCCTGATGTACTGACCTGTTGCACCCTCCACAACCGCTGTGATTATTATTTGACCCTGCTGGTCATCTATGAACGTTTGATCATCTTGAATAACAATCTGGCCTTAAATGGCCATGTACTCTTATAATCTCCACCCGGCACAGCCAGAAGAGGACTGGCCACCCCTTTCTGGTTTCTGCCTTTCTAGGGAGTTTTTCCTAGCCACTGTGCTTCTACATCTGCATTGCTTGCTGTTTGGGGTTTTAGGCTGGGTTTCTGTATAGCCCTTTTTTACATCTGCTGATGTAAAAAGGGCTTTATAAATAAATGTGATTGATATGCAGTAGATATAGTTCATGCAGGACCCCTGGTTTACAGTAAGGACAGTATACAGAATAGAAATGTGACGATGGTGTGCCAGCTGTTTTCCATGTTATGAATATGAGCTTTACAGCAACACACACACACACACACACACACACACACACACACACACACACACGCACGCACACACACACACAGCAATGGAACAGAAGGCATTAATTATCAACGGGGTAGCCTGGAGCAGCACAGAAAACAGATGGCATCAGCAGATTCATAAAACATGTCTTCTGCAGTGGTGGTGTTATACTGGTGCAGGGGGCCATCAAAGGCTTCCTGAGGCTTCACACACACTCACACACACAGACACAGACACAGACACAGACACAGACACAGACACAGACACACACACACACACACACACACAACACCAACACACACACACACACACACACACCACACACACACACCTCACACACACAGACACAGACACACACACACCCACACACACACACACACACCACCACACACACACACACACACACACACACACACACACACACACTCACACACCCCACACACACACACACCACACACACACACACCACACACACACACACCACACACACAGTCTCTTCTCACTCAAGGACAGTAATTAGGCTGTAATATGAGATAAAACTGTTGTTAAATTACAATGGAGCACACAGAGTAGTTTTAGACAATATGGTTATCTGCTGCACCCTGCCATTGGGTTTAGAAAAGGTGCAAGAGAAGATATATACTATAGTGAAATGGTCTCTCCACACTTAAATCAGATGCAATGTCAGTTTTTAATGGCTACGCTTTCGGTCAGTAATGGCCTTCTTTAGAGCACAGTCGTTAAAAGCACCTTAAATATCTTGGATAGGAAAGATATGCCACAGGTCATATCATCAGCCTAGTAGGTTTCAAAAAAAAGTTACTTATGAAACATAATCTTGTTGCGTTTGATCTTTGCTTGATTCCTCCCTAAGACCTATGTTTGTGTACACAGAGATATTTCAACAGGACTCTCTCAGTGGAGTGAAGCAAGGGGAGTTTCGGCTAACAGGAACGGTGTTATGTACACAAACAGTTAGAGCAGTGTTCTCATAGCACCCTACGACAGCGATGCACTGTGTCCAGATTCAGTGTTGACCAGCATAGAGCTGTACTGTAAACACCAAAACACGATGTTATGTAAATCATTTAAGATGCTCAGTACCTGTATATAACCAGTGAAAAGGTTTACCTTTGGGATCGACCTGCGTTAGGTAATAGAGAGTGGAGGAGTTTTCTCCGTTGGACTGAATCAGGTAGCCTGTCAGCAGCGACACCGCTCTCACGTAGTCCTTTTTGGGTGGATATTGCTGGAATAAGACCAATCAAATTAAAGTATTATTCATTACTGAATTACCATAACAAATTAAACCAGTCAGCTGTTCGCATTATGTTCAGACAATTTCTTTAAAAAATTTTATATATAATTCTGTTAAAAGTCACAACAGAGGCCATGTAGAGATGTTGACCCAACTTCTACAGTAGACTGCGCCTCTGGCAGGACTTTCTTATGGAGGCTGCCAAACAGCACTAATGGCATCTATCAATTGTACAAAATTCACTAGGAGACACGCTCAACTATAGATAAGTAAATTCATCTTTGGGTGCTGTAGCCCAAAAGTAATCCTACTTGTATGAAAAAGACGACCAGCCACTCGTCCATTGTGACGGCTGATAATAGATACTTTGTGAGCGCTGGCCTTCTTTTTTTCATTGTGTAGTATTTCCCGAGCCAACCAACATCGCGTGTCGATAAAGGTACATACCGGGTGTTTGACAGAGTAGTTGATGATCAGGTAGTCGTTGCCCAGAGGAAGCCATGATCTCATGGTGACGAAGTCCCTGTTCTTCAGGGGGCTCGGGCACTTCCCTACAGACACAATGACAACATGACTTTAGTGGAAGATGTTTCAATGTGTCCACGTGTACACATACATGTAGCATTCTATTGTCTAATTCTCTAGAGTTCTCAATGATTCTCAGTGATGAACTGCCTCACAACCCAGTCTATTCAGTCTATTTCTATGACTGACTAGATTGCGTGTTTGCTGTACTTTTAATCTGTAACATGTGGTTACAGTAGGCCCAGTCATAGAAACACTTTTTACTATGAGAAACATGGTTTAGTCTACTACATGTGGGGCATCATTGAATCATACTGGCATATTGACTCACACTGACTGGCATTCAAGGTTAAGTATAATCAACTGTAATACAGTGCATTTGTAAAGTATTCAGACCCCTTGATTTTGTTACGTTACAGCCTTATTCTAAAATAGATTAAATCGTTTTATTCCCTCTTCAATCTACACACAATACCCTATAATGACAAAGTGAAAACAGGTTTTTAGTAGTAGTGACAGTACTGTTAGTCTCTCTGTGGGATAGTAGTGACAGTACTGTTAGTCTCTCTGTGGGATAGTTGTGACAGTACTGGTTAGTCTCCTCCTCCTCCTCTTCCTCATCCTCCTCCTCCTCCTCCTCTTCCTCCTCTTCCTCCTCCTTCTCCTCCTATTCCTTCTCCTCATCCTCCTCCTTCTCCTCCTCCTTCTCCTCTTCCTCCTCCTTCTCCTCCTCCTCCTCCTCCTCCTTCTCCTCCTACTCCTTCTACTCTTCCTTCTCATTCTCCTTCTCTTCCTCTTCCTTCTCCTCCTACTCCTCCTCCTCTTCCTCTTCCTTCTCCTCCTACTCCTCCACTCCTCTTCCCTCCTCCTCCTCCTCCTCCAACTCACCTCGTCCTCTGACTTATCCTCCTAATCATTATCATACTATTTCTCTCCTCCTCCTCCTCCTCCTCCTCCTCTACCTTATTTTCACCTCTAATGAAAGAAAGGAATAGAGGAATCTGAAGTTGCTGGATGTTATCTGCTTTGAACTTGACAACCCATCTGCTTTGTTCTTGACAACCCATCTGCTTTGACTCGCAAGAGCACACACACACGCATGGAAGTACACACATATACACACACATATACACACACACACATACATACACACGCACAAACACATCAACTGTTATGACGGTCCCTGACGAGTTCCTGATGAGTCAGAGCAACCTTCTGCTTCCACCCCGGCTATAGTTTCCACCTGCCTCCTGAATACTGATTCAATACCAGGAGGCGTATCATCAGTAAACAATGTGACACTTACTCACAGGAGTGATGTTCTACGTCTGACACTAACTCACAGGAGTAATGTTCTACGTCTGACACTAACTCACAGGAGTAATGTTCTACGTCTGACACTAACTCACAGGAGTAATGTTCTACGTCTGACACTAACTCACAGGAGTGATGTTCTACGTCTGGCACTAACTCACAGGAGTAATGTTCTACGTCTGACACTAACTCACAGGAGTAATGTTCTACGTCTGACACTAACTCACAGGAGTAATGTTCTACGTCTGACACTAACTCACAGGAGTGATGTTCTACGTCTGACACTAACTCACAGGAGTAATGTTCTACGTCTGACACTAACTCACAGGAGTAATGTTCTACGTCTGACACTAACTCACAGGAGTAATGTTCTACGTCTGACACTAACTCACAGGAGTGATGTTCTACGTCTGACACTGACTCACAGGAGTAATGTTCTACGTCTGACACTAACTCACAGGAGTAATGTCCTACGTCTGACACTAACTCACAGGAGTAATGTTCTACGTCTGACACTGACTCACAGGAGTAATGTTCTACGTCTGACACTAACTCACAGGAGTAATATCCTACGTCTGACACTGACTCACAGGAGTAATGTTCTACGTCTGACACTGACTTACAGGAGTAATATCCTACGTCTGCGTTGACAGTAAGCCTGCCGATATCGTGGGTGTCAATCATGTTGCTGTCCCACTTCTTCCGGTAGCTGGTGTCATGAAGGACATCGTAAAGGGTCTCAGCAGTCACGTCCTTGCACACTATCCTCATCTGAAACAACAAGTAAAACACATTATATAGAAACATTAATTGATAAATATAATTGCGTAATAAACCTACACCGATAAACCCTGTAACTACATTGTTGCTACTACAGTCATAGGACTAGGGTTAGATATGAATAACAAGGTAGGACAGTGATTGATTCAACTTCCCTGAACTGCGGCCTCTGAAGCTGGCACTGTCTTCAGTATCAATTAAGTTTTTGAACGATGCATTTTATGAAAAAAGATCTGACACAAAAAACTGCTACGGTCTCTCTTCCAGAAGGATTTGCGTTAACACATTGTTATTTGGAATATTGCCCATAGATCAGTCCGTGTTTAATAGAAAAGATTGCACTGTGCAGAAAACCTTCAGCAACTGTAATTCAAAAGATCTACAGGTGTTATCATCATAACAACAACATTTGAAGTTGAGGAAGTTGAATATATTATATTACAGTAATACCGGTGTGACCATAAGGAACCAACGGAATACACAAGGACCTGAATTAAATCATTTACCATATGAGCTATATTAGTTGAATTAATAATAAGCTATATGAAGTGTTACCTTGGAGAAATTACATAAGATTACATCCATCTTAATGCACTCTGTTTATATTATAGTATACATCATATTAAACTCTATCCAGTATAGTGTCCATCATATTAAACTCTATCCAGTATAGTGTCCATCATATTAAACTATATCCAGTATAGTGTCCATCATATTAAACTATATCCAGTATAGTGTACATCATATTAAACTATATCCAGTATAGTGTCCATCATAATAAACTCTATCCAGTATAGTGTCCATCATATTAAACTATATCCAGTATAGTGTCCATCATATTAAACTATATCCAGTATAGTGTCCATCATATTAAACTCTATCCAGTATAGTGTCCATCATATTAAACTCTATCCAGTATAGTGTCCATCATATTAAACTCTATCCAGTATAGTGTCCATCATATTAAACTCTATCCAGTATAGTGTTCATCATATTAAACTATATCCAGTATAGTGTCCATCATATTAAACTCTATCCAGTATAGTGTCCATCATATTAAACTATATCCAGTATAGTGTCCATCAAATTAAACTGGATAAAGCATAGTGTCCATCATATTAAACTATATCCAGTATAGTGTCCATCATATTAAACTATATCCAGTATAGTGTACATCATATTAAACTATATCCAGTATAGTGTCCATCATAATAAACTCTATCCAGTATAGTGTCCATCATATTAAACTATATCCAGTATAGTGTCCATCATATTAAACTATATCCAGTATAGTGTCCATCATATTAAACTCTATCCAGTATAGTGTCCATCATATTAAACTATATCCAGTATAGTGTCCATCATATTAAACTCTATCCAGTATAGTGTCCATCATATTAAACTGGATAAAGCATAGTGTCCATCATATTAAACTCTATCCAGTATAGTGTCCATCATATTAAACTCTATCCAGTATAGTGTCCATCATATTAAACTATATCCAGTATAGTGTCCACCATATTAAACTCTATCCAGTATAGTGTCCATCATATTAAACTCTATCCAGTATAGTGTCCATCATATTAAACTATATCCAGCATAGTGTCCATCATATTAAACTCTATCCAGTATAGTTTCCATCATATTAAACTATATCAAGTATAGTGTCCATCATATTAAACTCTATCCAGTATAGTGTCCATCATATTAAACTCTATCCAGTATAGTGTCCATCATATTCAACTCTATCCAGTATAGTGTCCATCATATTCAACTCTATCCAGTATAGTGTCCATCATATTAAACTCTATCCAGTATAGTGTCCATCATATTAAACTCTATCCAGTATAGTGTACATCATATTAAACTCTATCCAGTATAGTGTCCATCATATTAAACTCTATCCAGTATAGTGTCCATCATATTAAACTATATCCAGTATAGTGTCCATCATATTAAACTCTATCCAGTATTGTGTCCATCATATTAAACTCTATCCAGTATAGTGTCCATCATATTAAACTCTATCCAGTATAGTGTCCATCATATTAAACTCTATCCAGTATAGTGTCCATCATATTAAACTATATCCAGTATAGTGTCCATCATATTAAACTCTATCCAGTATAGTGTCCATCATATTAAACTCTATCCAGTATAGTGTCCATCATATTAAACTATATCCAGCATAGTGTCCATCATATTAAACTCTATCCAGTATAGTGTCCATCATATTAAACTATATCCAGTATAGTGTCCATCATATTAAACTCTATCCAGTATAGTGTCCATCATATTAAACTCTATCCAGTATAGTGTCCATCATATTAAACTCTATCCAGTATAGTGTCCATCATATTAAAATCTATCCAGTATAGTGTCCATCATATTAAACTCTATCCAGTATAGTGTCCATCATATTAAACTCTATCCAGTATAGTGCCATCATATTAAACTCTATCCAGTATAGTGTCCATCATATTAAACTCTATCCAGTATAGTGTCCATCATATTAAAATCTATCCAGTATAGTGTCCATCATATTAAACTCTATCCAGTATAGTGTCCATCATATTAAACTCTATCCAGTATAGTGTCCATCATATTAAACTCTATCCAGTATAGTGTCCATCATATTAAACTCTATCCAGTATAGTGTCCATCATATTAAAATCTATCCAGTATAGTGTCCATCATATTAAACTCTATCCAGTATAGTGTCCATCATATTAAACTCTATCCAGTATAGTGTCCATCATATTAAACTCTATCCAGTATAGTGTCTATCATATTAAACTCTATCCAGTATAGTGTCCATCATATTAAACTCTATCCAGTATAGAGTCCATCATATTAAACTCTATCCAGTATAGTGTCCATCATATTAAACTCTATCCAGTATAGTGTCCATCATATTAAACTCTATCCAGTATAGTGTCCATCATATTAAACTCTATCCAGTATAGTGTCCATCATATTAAACTATATCCAGTATAGTGTCCATCATATTAAACTCTATCCAGTATAGTGTCCATCATATTAAACTCTATCCAGTATAGTGTACATCATATTAAACTCTATCCAGTATAGTGTCCATCATATTAAACTCTATCCAGTATAGTGTCCATCATATTAAACTCTATCCAGTATAGTGTCCATCATATTAAACTCTATCCAGTATTGTGTCCATCATATTAAACTCTATCCAGTATAGTGTCCATCATATTAAACTCTATCCAGTATAGTGTCCATCATATTAAACTCTATCCAGTATAGTGTCCATCATATTAAACTATATCCAGTATAGTGTCCATCATATTAAACTCTATCCAGTATAGTGTCCATCATATTAAACTCTATCCAGTATAGTGTCCATCATATTAAACTATATCCAGCATAGTGTCCATCATATTAAACTCTATCCAGTATAGTGTCCATCATATTAAACTATATCCAGTATAGTGTCCATCATATTAAACTCTATCCAGTATAGTGTCCATCATATTAAACTCTATCCAGTATAGTGTCCATCATATTAAACTCTATCCAGTATAGTGTCCATCATATTAAAATCTATCCAGTATAGTGTCCATCATATTAAACTCTATCCAGTATAGTGTCCATCATATTAAACTCTATCCAGTATAGTGTCCATCATATTAAACTCTATCCAGTATAGTGTCCATCATATTAAACTCTATCCAGTATAGTGTCCATCATATTAAATCTATCCAGTATAGTGTCCATCATATTAAATCTATCCAGTATAGTGTCCATCATATTAAACTCTATCCAGTATAGTGTCCATCATATTAAACTCTATCCAGTATAGTGTCCATCATATTAAACTCTATCCAGTATAGTGTCCATCATATTAAACTCTATCCAGTATAGTGTCCATCATATTAAAATCTATCCAGTATAGTGTCCATCATATTAAACTCTATCCAGTATAGTGTCCATCATATTAAACTCTATCCAGTATAGTGTCCATCATATTAAACTCTATCCAGTATAGTGTCTATCATATTAAACTCTATCCAGTATAGTGTCCATCATATTAAACTATATCCAGTATAGTGTCCATCAGGGCGGCAGGTAGCTTAGTGGTTAAGAGCGTTGTGCCAGTAACCGAAAGGTTGCTGGTTCTAATCCCCGAGCCGACTAGGTGAAAAATCTGTCGATGTGCCCTTGAGCAAGGCACTTAACCCTAATTGCTCCTGTAAGTCGCTCTGGATAAGAGCGTCTGCTAAATGACCAATTTATTTATCATATTAAACTCTATCCAGTATAGTGTCCATCATATTAAACTTTATCCAGTATAGTGTCCATCATATTAAACTATATCCAGTATAGTGTCCATCATATTAAACTCTATCCAGTATAGTGTCCATCATATTAAACTATATCCAGTATAGTGTCCATAATATTAAACTCTATCCAGTATAGTGTCCATCATATTAAACTCTATCCAGTATAGTGTCCATCATATTAAACTATATCCAGTATAGTGTCCATCATATTAAACTCTATCCAGTATAGTGTCCATCATATTAAACTCTATCCAGTACAGTGTCCATCATATTAAACTGGATAAAGCATAGTGTCCATCATATTAAACTCTATCCAGTATAGTGTCCATCATATTAAACTGGATAAAGCATAGTGTACATCATATTAAACTCTATCCAGTAGGCCTAGCTACTAGCCCCCATATCTCTGACGTATCAGTGACTGATAAATATACCGTTCTAACTGCGCCACAGCAGCAGATGAGATGGGAGCGTGGGATAGCTGGGGGCCACAGCAGCAGAGTGGAGGGGGGAGCGTGGGATAGCTGGGGGCCACAGCAGCAGATGAGATGGGAGCGTGGGATAGCTGGGGGCCACAGCAGCAGATGGGATGGGAGCGTGGGATAGCTGGGGGCCACAGCAGCAGATGAGATGGGAGCGTGGGATAGCTGGGGGCCACAGCAGCAGATGGGATGGGAG